CCTGTGATGAGGTCAAGGGTGTAACTCTCTGTTCTTCTGTGTACCCTCCTGTAGGACATGTTGTTCCCCCATGGCATAGGAGGGTGTTAACTAATAGTAGGAAAACATCTGCCATCAACAGTTCCTAAGATGAGCTACCCAAGTAGCTGATCTACAATAGTTAACATGGAACTACAGGAAGGATCAAGCAGAACTTACTTGCAAATAAATCTTCTTTAGTCCAGGAATGCAGTCACCAATCCGGCCTGAAACCAAGCGACCAAGCCCTGAAGTGGCTCCAAGGCAAACCAAGAGAAGCCAGTCATTTTTGTTTTCTTTAAATTCCTTCTCCACATATTTTATCTAGGATGAAGGGAAAGAAATAAGGACATTAATCCTCCCTGCGTTAGTTCATCTCACACATCGCAAATGAATGAGCTGGAATGACCATAAGCAAAGATTTTTTTTGGAAGGAGCATACACTTCTAAATGCCGAGCACTTGTGTGGACTTTTGTCAGATGAATCGCTGCTCTTCGGGATGGCTGCGTTGCTCATGCCCACACCATGCTGACATGAGCTCACCTCATCCAGGCATTGCAAACCCAAAGGCCAACAACTCCACTTTTCTCCTCTCTCATTACTGATCCTCCCCTGGCAATCGAGTGTGGCAGAAACGCTGCCACCTTGTCCATAGAGTCATCTGAGTCCAGCGGTGGAGAGTAATTGCTCAACAGCCGCATGGTGCAGAGGTTGTTTGGAGGTAGCAATCGGCACGGTCCTTTGCAGAAACATTCAAAAGCCATCTCTCCCCATCACTATTCCTGTTTACAAGAAGTGCATGCAGTGTTGTCTTAATTTCAAAGCTTTGGGCTGCTCTGTCCCCACTGGTTCTCTCCTCCTGTCCTTCTCCAGCTTCCTACCTGCTCATCGCGCTCTCCTCCGTTCACAAGGAAGAGCCCTGTCACTCGGGGCAAAGGGACCCCCGCCACTCCCCTTCCAGCCCCCATGGTGCTCTTACCAGGTGCAGGTAAGGTACAAGGTATCCCAGCACAGCAGTAGCAATCCCAAAGGCCCAAATCCGATAGGTCTTTCTCCGGAAAACCCTCAGGTTGAAATACTTGCGCATCTGAGACCAGCACTGCTGCTGCACGCTCCGGCTGACCACCTTATCTTGCCCATCATGCTGAGAGTCACAAGAAGGTGGCAAGATGGGCCGATAGGTAAGGGACAAGAATATCTGGATGAACATAAAGGCACTGAGTACTTGGAAAGTGTGCGCCAGCCCAATGGCCTTCCCAACTGTCTTCAAGAAGAAGGGGAGGGAGACGGAGAAGAGGCAGCTGCCGCCGGCCACGATGCCGTTCACCAAGCCAAGGCGGCGTTTGAAGTAGTGACCCAGGATAACCAACGAGGGCTGGAAGGCGAAGGAACTGCCGCAGCCGAAGAGGATCCCGTATGTGAAATAACGGACTTCGAGAGACCTAGCAGAGAAAACAGAGGCACGTAGCTATGTTACACGGGGGAAGCAGACTTTGTCATGCAGTCTAGCCGAGCCGCACGTCAGGACCGAGGGCTCGCATACCATGAGCACTGCACAGACATCCCCATCTTGAGGAGCTTATTCCCCAGACAAAGCAAGGATTATCCTCATTTCACAGCTGGCATGTTAAATCTCAGAGAAAATGGAGTCTAGCCGGGAGAGCTTTCTGCAGCGCGGCGTGCAGAAGGCAGCAGCCAGCTACGCTCCCTGGGAACGTTACCCAGCTTGAGCAGTTTTTAAATCACAGTAAAACAGCTTAACTAAGGCAGGAAGGATATATTATTTTTAGCTAGAAATCCATTTTTTTCCACTGAAACAACTAATTGGAAACACTCTGCAGCCAGTGTTTAAATGCAGAAGGCACCAACCTCACTGATTATTAGGCACTTAGGACGAGAACATTGCGTTTCCGTTCAAATTCCAGGCTGGTTAATTACGTTCTTCTGCTCAGAGCAACTTCAGACGTTTCCGTTAGATGTTTAATGGGTTTCATTTTTACCTTACAGAAGTGGCTGCATTGAGGAGGGAGTGAAGTGGCTGCTCTGCAGAGCGTGTGTAAAGCACTTGAGCCCCTTTGGAAGGAGCCGTTTCTCTGTTGTTGACCAACTTTTCCCAGAAGCAGCAGCTAAGCAAGGAGCCTAAAGTTAGGCAGTGCAAACAACCTCTTGAGTTCCAGCAGGTTTCTCTGCAGAAGAGGGATTTCGCCAGCCTTTGCACAACGCATTCAGCTGCAAAAGTCTGCTGCCAAAATGCTGCATGGGAGGAGAGCACAATGGAGACACCTCGGCTATTAACTGACCTGAAGATGCTGCAGGGACTGGATCCTTCTAATTCTAGGACTCAGAGTTGCTTGCTTAAAAGACTAAACACCTTCCCTATAGCAAATGAGAAGCTGAGGAAATGCTTACGAGAGCATCATTTATTCCATTACGAGCTTGTCTCTTTAGCTAGCTGAGCAGCAAACCGAACGTGACCACCGTACCAAACTGCTCGAGGAGGAATGGCTGCCACAAAGGGCGATTACTAGCTCAGCTCCATCAGAAAAACCCTCTGCTAGAAGTTAAGCGAGGAGCGGGATTGCACAGGCTGCTCATACAGCCATCCCCAGCAGAGCCCCGAGGGGGACAGGGACATCATGGTGCCAGGCACTGACCCATTTACTGAGTGCTCTGGACACCACAGGGGTCCTGGCCACCCACGCACCAGTCCTGGTGATCGCAGCTAGATCACACCAGCTTTCAGGACTGCGGCTAATCTTACATTTTGGATAAGGGGAGGCAAATGCCACAGGGCCCATCTGCTCCACGTTGGCATTAAGACCTTCCCGCAACAGGCCACAAAAGTGGGGGCTTGGTGGGGCATTCCGTTGGTTGGGAATGAGCCAGCTGCACGCCGTGACCTGATGGGAAGCGTGGCGGCGTCTCCGTGGGATAATGAGGTCACCGTCCAACAGCTGCCTCTTGCTCACAGCACGCCTGAAACGGCTCCTGCTCAGCCCCGCTGACCGAGCCTCTGGGGTCTTTTCCCACGGGGGGACATCCTGAGTGGCATGGCACAAAGATAGGAAGGGCACCTCAACAACCCCCTTGAGGGCAACAGTGAAGTTCAGCCACGTGCCAAAGAAGTCCTGCATGTCATATCTGCAGGAAAGGCCAAGTGTGCGGTGAGGAGCAAGGGCGAAGGAGGTGCAGGAAGCAAGAGACAGCTGTCCTGGCAAAAAATCCTGTGCATTATTAACACCGAGAGATGAAAGGAGGCCAGAGCGGTAACCCTGCTGCAGAGCACAAGAGCTGAGGAGAGGTTCCTGCTGCTGGAGGCCCATGCATGAACCTTGGTGTGGTGGGAAGCAAAGCCCAAGGTGAGCTCTCTGGGGGCTCATGGGTGGCACGTGTCCCCCTGGAGCCAGCTCTGTGGTGGCAGCTCCTGCTTCACTGGCTCTGGGGCTGCTCTGTCCTGGCATAGGCGACAAGAGCTCAGTGGCTGCTCCAGGAGCCCTTCGATGGCTCAGAGGACATGGCTGAAACACAGTGAATGTCACTCAGGGAAGAATGAGAAACTGGGCAGGGGAAGATGAAGTAGAAGAAGAGCTAATTATTCCCTAACACAAAACTCATAAAAATCCTCAGAGAGGCCAGGGGAGGGTTTGAGGTGCCCGGGAGACGTGATGGACTGCCAAACTAGCCAGCATTTCCACCTCTCTCCTTCTCTGCCTTCGCACTACAGTGTCCCATTCCGGCAGGAAAGGGAAGCAGGTACCCAGGGAACACTCATTAGACCAGCAGCAGCCCTGGCTGGTTAGTAGTGCACCAAAGCACGCTGAAAGGCGCCCAGTGAAGGCCGGAAAGGAAGGATAAGCTGCTTTGCTCCTCTTAGTGCCAAGCTGCATGCCAGCTTCCTGGCTGCAACAAATCCAGAAAACCCCAAGCTTCTCCTGGTCTCTGCTTTTCAGCACAGCCTGTTTATTTAGTGTTTTCCCTATGGAGCTCCCAGCATTTTGTGAGCAGGAAGCTCACACTGCCATGGAAATGGGCTACCAAGAGTCCCCTGAGCGAGCTTGGCCAGGCAAAGATGGGGCAGAAGCAAGTGGTGCCAGGAAGGGTGACAAGAGCCACCTCAAGCTTGGACTGATGAAGGAGGGAGTTTGGGGGGTCAATGTGCTGCCTGATCTTTAGGACTTCTACAACAGAGCTAGACTCAGCTTTTTGATGTCCAGAGCCACGCATTTAGGCCAACCTATGTGCTTGCTGCAACGCCTGCTCCATATACATCATCCTCCGTCTGAGACTGTGAGAGTTTGTGACACCAAACTAAATACGCCTCCTGGTTGCTGTGGGAAAGCAGGAGCTGCTAGCTCCAAATGTGGGGCTGGGCTCCATGATGCAGATGGAGCAGCCCTGCTCCTTGTCCTCCCATCCGGCTCAGCTTTGCCCAAGGCAGCTCAGTGGAAACTCTTCCCATCCCTTCCTGTGGCACAGCTGCAAAGGGGTTTCATTCCTCCCTTAAAAGGCAGCCAAAGGAATTTCAGCTAGAAGCAAGAGAGCAGGAAATACGGATTTCAGCTCTGAAGTTCTCCTGGAAATTATATTTTTCTCTGCATGCATTTTTTTTTTTTTGTAAGCCCAACACAATAATCCACTGGCAGCGCTGTGGTCTCAAGAGAGCTTTTCCCTTGCACGAACACTTTACAATAGGGGGAAAAAAGAGTCAAAGTTTTGTTGATTAGAGAGAAAGAAAGATTAGGAGGGAAGTGCTCTGCGTGTTGATCCTGCGTGCTACCAGGGGGTTCAGAGGCACTTTCCCACAGGAATGATCAGACTTTCTCCAATTACTGTTATCTTTTTAAACACAAAGGGCCGTCATTTGTGGAGTTAGTGAGAGAGCTGCTGTCTTCCAGCATCACAAAAAAGGCTAAAGTAAGGCAAAGCCACATGAGCTTTCTGCTGAAACAGCTCCTCAATCACTGTCCTTGGTCAATGAGGGGCTTTGCTGGGACACGGGTGTCCTCTACCCCAGGGACTGGGGAGCAAGGGATTATTTATAATTATGGTGAGGCTTGATGACACTGCTGTGTCCACACAGGGTTGCTAAAGCTCTTCCTGCGTCATGCTCCTCCGTGCCAGGAGCTCCTCGGCGGGGAGCAGCCGGGAGCCACATCCCATAGCGGAGCCTCCAGAGCAGCCTCCACCCTCGCGCCGTAACAGCAGGCCCCACACAGCCCCGTGGAGACGGCTCTTGGCACGCTCCAGCCTGCCGGACCCTCCTGCTGCTTTGGGAACAGCACACGCACGCACATCTCCACAGGAACCCAAGGGCCGGGACAAGCTTGAGGCTTTTATCAGATGTTGGTCTTCAGGGTAAAAGTCCCCCTAGCGCTGAGCTGGTTCTCGTAAGAAGCCAGCAATGGAGGCCGACCATCATGTGGCCGAGCAGCAGGCGGCCCATGCTTCTCGCACGACATAAAACTTCCCAGAGACGTCTCCTCTTCCAGCATGAAGCGTTTGAAGGCCGCCTCGGCCATGGCTGGAGGCCGGTCTTGCTGGCGCCAGCAGCCAGGCTGGCACGGAGGCAGCTCCGGGCAGGGCACAGTTGTCCTCTTTGGAACAAATGTGTGCATTTGCTTGAAAAAAAATACTTCTGGGAGCATTTTAATTAAAACAATATTGATTTCAACTGAAGTCCAACCGCCAGCAATGTTTCTATTCAGACAAGCTTGGGCAAATGATGCTTTGGAGGATGTGTCCATGCTGCCCAAGTGCAGAGCTCTTGAGACTATGTCTAAGGAGAGACACACAGGATGAGGAGATCGAGGTGACCTTTTCTGCTTCCCTACAGATACAGATGTGCTGGGCTGGAAAAACTATCAATCACTCCAAACCAGCTAGATCTACTATCAAAATGTGCATTAGTGACAGGCTGCCAATGGAAATGTATAGGACCTGCCATGGAAAATATGGAGCGGCAGCCATTCTATGCTGTGTCAGAAACAGCTGGCTTTGGAGCCAGGGCCAGCTTGGGAACAGCACAGGCTGCTCCAAATCCCATCTATGTTCCTATTTTCCAGGCTCCTGCACACAGAAACTTCTGGCCTCCCTTCAGCACATTGCACCTTAGTGAGCACCATTAACGCTGGCCAGGTGTAACCAGTTAAATATCACTTCAAATTGTGTTTGACTTTCAATACCGAATGTAGTTTGCGAAGGACAATTTTCCACAAGTGTCTCTCTGGAGTAGACTGTGAGTGGCACACAGCTTCCTGCTGCCTGTCTTCAAGATCAAACGATGGTGGAAATTTAAGAGCACATGAGCAGAGAAGCTCCCCACAGCCACAATTGTGTAAAGCAAAGTTCCTGATTTAGCTAAAGTTAATTCTCTTGTTGTTCAAGGACAAAAAAGTGACTCAGGACTGAATTTGGACCGAGACATGCTGTGTGCATGCAGGCTGCACATGGGCTGCAGCGATGCCAGGAGACCTCTCAACTAGATTGAAAACACCTGATCTGCACGAAAAGGCAGCAACAATGTGTTTTTTTAAGCAGAGGATTTGGGGAGAAAAGCAAAAAGAGCCGGTTGCTAAAGGGCAGTGTGACCTCCCAACCCAGAAACCAGCAGTCTTACTTGGTGAACGAACTGGAGAGGAGTCCGGTGAAAGCAATGGCAGCTCCTGAGGCTGCTGTTGTCCTGCAGCCAACCCGGTCTGTGAAGATGCTCACGATGGGGGAGCAGAAAAAGATCATCCCCATGGCCAAGGCACCAACCCATGCTGGGAAGAGGGAGAGAGAGAGAAGAAACACGAAGGTCAGGATTGTTTAATGAACATTCGCTTGAGAATTTTTGCTTTTATTCCCCTCTGTGGGGTCCCTGTGTGTCCAAAGAAAGGAGCTCAACCTGCAGCACCTTGTTCTGGTTACCCTTGCAGCCTGTATAATGACATCTCCAGGGATGCTCTTCCTAAACATGAGAGAGCCAAGAGCACTCAGGGATTCAGGACACCCTTGCTCACCTTTTGGCTAGTAGGAGCTCCATAGCCTGAGTTATGGTGCTGTGTTTTTAGGCCCCACAATTATTCACCGTTGTTCTCCACTCCCTGGAAAGCCAAGATTACTTACCCTTCTCCATTTGCCACGACACTTTTTCTTACAATGCCAAGTGTGACTTTCTTCATTGCAGTGCTCTTCCCTAAGCCACTGGTAATAGAACGTACCCACAGCTGAAGCCTTAGGCTAGCAAGCCTTATTAATTAAATGACAATGCTATAAACAACACGCACTAGCAAGCAGCTCACGATATTCAAGTGATGGGACCTGGACGTCATCAAGAAATGAAAACCAGAGAAATGGCAACACTTAAAAGGACAAGGTCCAGGCCCTAACAAGAGCAACTGGCATGGTCCAGAAGTTAAAAAAGAAAGAAAGCCACCACAGTCGTGGGAAGCGACAGCTCTCCTTGATTAAAGTCTGACCACTACTACACTCTTTAAACTGCATTCAGAAAGCTCACAGGGGCCCACAAAGCTACATCAGGTTAAATTACATCCCCGAATCTGCTGGGTGATATCCAGGCAGGAGCATGACCTCATGTCTCCTTTCTACCTGCTTCTGGAGAAAGCCACTGTCTCTCTGTCTTTTTAAAGAAACTTTAATTGCTATAAGATCAGTTCAGCCCTCCCTCTTCTCCCTGCCCTCCACCCTCTCCTTTTCATGGTTCCTTTAGCTCCTTTCTACAGGAAGGCAGGCTTTCAAGAAAAGAAATGTGCTAAACAAAAATCTGTCTGCAAGATCTGAGGAGAAGCAAATTGGGAATGCAGAGCAGGAGGTGTTAGGCCTTCACCAAGCAAGGTTTTCTCTTCAGGGTGTAGGGCTTGCAGAAAGGCAGGAGGGATGTATGGACAAGAAAGGAAGAGCCAATACTCCGAAACAGACGGATGGCCACCAGGCCATGGTGGGAGGAGATCTGCAGAGCACTGAATGGTGAGATTGTGAGGGCTGAGGAGTCTCTCTCAATGATTTCAACAAGCACTTGATACTGCACTCCAAGCCACTGGCACACAGATAGCCTTTTCACATGAGGAGAAGGACGAAGGTCCAGTTGGATCTGTGCTGGAGGTTCCATTTCACATACAAGGCTGCAAAGTGAAGCATGGAGGAGATAATGCTTGGATCTGTTTGGTTCCCTTGCAAATGAGAACGGCTGCAGTCTCCTCGCACAATCCCACGCTAAATCCTCAGTCGCTGCCTCACGACTCAGTCCTCAGCTCTGATGGAGCGCTGTGATCAGGATTGCTCCTCACCCTCCCTCGGTGTCTCAGCTACCGCATGCATGTGGGCTGCTCTCCTTGCAAACACAACAGCTCCTGACTTCGCAGGCACTGTGATGAAAGAGTGACTCTGTAAGGGAGGAAAAAGCTGCCTGATTCCACACAGATGAGCTGCAAATGGGCAGCAGGGCATCCCAGCAGACTCTTTCAGGGGTCTTTTCAGGGAAGTGCCATCAGACAAAGATCTGCCTGACCGAGGCTCATTCCTCCCTCCTGCCCCCGTGTATCTCAATGGCATCATGTTTTAGCCTCTGCAAGATGTGGTTCTGCAGCCTTAAGTATTTCCCCAGACGTCACCTGTGGGGATCGCTCCCTGACTCAGGCAGTTTGACCAGCAGCGTGCAGCAGGGACCAACGTGGGCACCGTGAGCCACCTCTGCGGCCTGGCCTGGGCCGTGCAGCACCGCGGCCTGCGGCCAGACCTCCAGCCGGCTGCCCACCACGTGTTGCCACCCGCTGGCAGATCTCTCTATAAATAAGTGTGCGGTGACCTTTGTGGCACAGCTTGTCTCCCGGGGGCCCAGCGACCCCCTGCCCAGGCTGTGCCACCAGCTCGCCGGGACACGCGGGTCCCCAGCTGCCACATTGCAGCCACTTGTACCCAGAGCAAGAGCTCTGCAAGGCCTCTGAGCCCCGCTCAGTAACAGCCTCCAGCAGCCGTGAGGTTTTCAGAAAATAGCCAGGGCCCTATTAAAAGAAAAGCCCTGCTGCAGACAGCCTCTCCAGTCTCTGCCTTTCAAAAGGGACCACACAAGGAAGCCCTCTCCAGCTTGGGAAGAACTGACCCTTCCAAATTAATTATAAGTTCTCAAGAACCCAATTTACCCTGAAGTATCCTTAATAAATTCCAACCCAAGTAAAAAAAGAAAAGCGGAGGCCTAGCAGGAACCTTTTGGGGCTTACTCGAATCCTGTCGCAACACAATATGAAATTAAAAAGAGAGAGGGAGAGGGAGCAGACCCCCCCTCTCTAGCTAATTTTCTTGGTTATAAACACAGTGCGCAGTGTAATGAAAGTCCTTCTAATAGGATTAGATGGCAGCGCTCCAAGGTGCCGTCCAAAACAACTACAAAAGGGGGTGAGAGGTGGGAGAAACGCCAGGATGGGAAAGGCTCGTTAAATTGGATAATATACTTTCAGAAATGTTCCTTCTACTTCAGCCAAGGCAGTAAAATGCTCGATGGTCCCATCATGTTTGAAGTTTGTTATTTTTGGAAATTGCTTTAAGAAACACGGAAATAAAAGCATAAAGCAGGTATTAAATTTAAAGGGCCAGATTCTGATCTTAATAACCCAGAGATTTGCATGCAAATGAGCAGTATCAATCCCTGGCCCAAAGCGCATGTTCACCTGGGGGGGATCAAAGCAAACCCGGTGTGAGAGGTGCAGCGACGGGAAGTTGATGCACATTGCAGGTTGCGAAGAGAGATAGCACTCAATTAGACCCGGCAAACAACAAAAAAGATTCCCGTGGCAAATTGCTCTACCTTGCAGAAACAACTCACCACAAGCAATGCATAAAAATAGTTCTTGGTAATAACACCGAGTTAAAATTAGTAAGAATAACAGCCTCACTTCCAGAGCACGCTTTTGTCTCCACATCCCAGCCAGCCCTCCCGACAGCCCGGGAAGCCAGGAGGCTGGTGGAGATCCAGCGCTCCGAGGCGCAGAGCTGCGAGGAGCCTTCCTCCCCGGCTCCAGCACGAGGAAGCGGCCAAGGCCCAGCCCAGGCTCAGTGTTTTTCAGGGATGCTTAGAGATTTGCACCGAAACAAACCCCCAACAGCTGGTTTCACAACTGCCCTTGTATTTTTTCTGGCAGGAAGCAGGACATGGGAGCAGAAGGGAGTGGTGCCAATGGAGCTGTGAAGAGGAAGGCTCTTGTATCTCCCTGAGAGTTCATTTCATCGCATTTCGGGGAGAGGCTAAAGGAGAGCAACAGTGAGAAATCACAGCTCAGAAGAAATCCGATTTCCTACGGAATTTAACATCAAGCCCGCCCCCAATAGTCATGGAGCTCCAAACCTGCACTGAACACAAAAGGAGCTAAAGGAACACATTTTTGGAAATGTGCATAACATGATATTCCAGTGTCTCTGAGCTTTCCAGGATCGCTGCTGATACTGATGGCAGACATCTCCCTTCCTCGGGTGAGGAATGTGCTGGGTTTAATCAGCTGCCATTGCTACGTAGGGTTAGCAGCTCCTCAGACGCTGGAGAAGATGGGACTCGAGTCAAAGCCCATGGGAAAGAAAAGGGGAATCTTGCTTCTGATTTCCGTGGATTTTTGGATAGGATCGTTAATTCCTAGCCCTGCCACACCTCAGAAATGCTCCGTGTGATAACCGCGCCGATACCCTTCGGCACACAAGCACAAGCCCCCACAAGACGTGCGCACCCTTATCAGCAGCGCGGCGCGATCCAGCCCTGCCACAGCAGCCTCTGAAGGGAAACGTGTGTTCGATTCAGCTCATGGCTGGCTTGGGCTCCACTCCAGCACAGTGCAGAAGCTGGAAGCGAACCAGGTTCAGACTTGATGGAGTCTCAAGGTGCTGTGAGCCCAAGTGCTTCCTGGAAGCCGCAGTGGAAGGGGCTCGTTTTGGAGGCGACTCTCGGCAGGACG